AAATGTTATAAATTGATTTGCATTTTAATGAGGGAAATAAGTATTTGACCCCCTCTGAATCAGAAATATTTCTGGCTACCAGGTGTCTTTCATACAGGTAACGAGCTGAGATTAGGAGCACACTCTTAAAGGGAGTGCTCCTAATCTCAGCTTGTTACCTGTATAAAAGACACCTGTCCACAGAAGCTATCAATCAATCAGATTCCAAACTCTCCACCATGACCAAGACCAAAGAGCTCTCCAAGGATGTCAGGGACAAGATTGTAGACCTACACAAGGCTGGAATGGGCTACAAGACCATTGCCAAGCAGCTTGGTGAGAAGGTGACAACAGTTGGTGCGATTATTTGCAAATGGCAAAAACACAAGAACTGTCAATCATCCTCGGCCTGGGGCTCCATGCAAGATCTCACCTCGTGGAGTTGCAATGATCATGAGAACGGTGAGGAATCAGCCCAGAACTACACGGGAGGATCTTGTCAATGATCTCAAGGCAGCTGGGACCATAGTCACCAAGAAAACAATTGGTAACACACTACGCCGTGAAGGAATGAAATCCTGCAGCGCCCGCAAGGTCCCCCTGCTCAAGAAAGCAAATAAACATGCCCGTCTGAAGTTTGCCAATGAACATCTGAATGATTCAGAGGACAACTGGGTGAAAGTGTTGTGGTCAGATGAGACCAAAATGGAGCTCTTCGGCATCAACTCAACTCGCCGTGTTTGGAGGAGGAGGAATGCTGCTTATGACCCCAAGAACACCATCCCCACCGTCAAACATGGAGGTGGAAACATTATGCTTTGGGGGTGGTTTTTTTCTGCTAAGGGGACAGGACAACTTCACCGCATCAAAGGGACGATGGACGGGGCCATGTACCGTCAAATCTTGGATGAGAACCTCCTTCCCTCAGGCAGGGCATTGAAAATAGGTCGTGGATGGGTATTCCAGCATGACAATGACCCAAAACACACGGCCAAGGCAACAAAGGAGTGGCTCAAGAAGAAGCACATTAAGGTCCTGGAGTGGCCTAGCCAGTCTCCAGACCTTAATCCCATAGAAAATCTGTGGAGGGAGCTGAAGGTTCGAGTTGCCAAATGTCAGCCTCGAAACCTTAATGACTTGGAGAAGATCTGCAAAGAGGAGTGGGACAAAATCCCTCCTGAGATGTGTGCAAACCTGGTGGCCAACTACAAGAAACGTCTGACCTCTATGATTGCCAACAAGGGTTTTGCCACCAAGTACTAAGTCATGTTCTGCAGAGGGGTCAAATACTTATTTCCCTCATTAAAATGCAAATCAATTTATAAAATTTTTGACATGCGTTTTTCCGGATTTTTTTGTTGTTATTCTGTCTCTCACTGTTCAAATAAACCTAACATTAAAATTATAGACTGATCATTTCTTTGTCAGTGGGCAAACGTACAAAATCAGCAGGGGATCAAATACTTTTTTCCCTCGCTGTATGTCGGCATGCCTGTCGGGTATCAAGACAAACCCTTGGCACTTAATTTCACCTGCGAGCAACGCACAACAACTCTGGCAGGTAAATGTGGACAATTTGACGTGAGAAAGTTTTTAATTTTAAAATTGTGAAAGTTTTTTTATTTTTATTTTACAAACGTTTAACAATTTTCCAATGTTTTTGAGAAAATATATCGCGCGCGAAAAATGCTTGCGGGAACCTCTAGCACGTTAAATGTTGACCTGAAGCTGTCGTGACTGCAGGCATTCCTGTTCTACGTGTCTTTCGGTAAAATCACGTAGATGGAAGAAAAATATATATATTTTTCAAAAATATCACGACGTTTCGATCGCAAAACAAGCAATCGTCTTCACGTTAGCCACGGGTGAAATGTACTTTTGCATGATGGCACAGAGGGGAAAAGAGAATCGTGAAGTTCGCCATCCCAAGAATTTGTCTGGAACCCACTGACCACTCAAGCAACTGCTCCTTCTGCGCGGTGGACCCTTCCAAACGTCGGACTGGCAAAGAACGCACCGGCCATCAAGTATCTGGACCTTCCTTCATCCATCGCCCCGGTGCCACGCTGCCGTGAGCTCCCCGTACCCACTCCTCCTCCTCCGGAGAGAGCGAGAGAGAGAGAGCGGCCGTCTTTAGAAGGGAGCAGCAAGTCAGAGAGGGAGGAAGACGCACCGCAGATCCGGGCGACGATTTCAGACGTGGAGCTGGAGAGGGAAAACCCACACCACCCCAACCGAAAAGACCCCGACGACTTGATCGGAGATCTTGGTCTCACCAAGTCCCATGCCGAGATTTTGACGTCTCGGCTCAAGCAGTTGAACTCGTTGGATGAACGTCTGCGAGCCGCAGAACGGAGGAAGGGTCGTCAACATTTTTGCGGCTTCTTCGCCCGTCAAGATGAAGCCTCTGCTTCTGCCACAATGTGACCAGTGCTGTCCCAGGCAATGGGAATCGCCTGTAACCGGAATGAGCGGCGCCCTCTTCATTGACAGCTCATCCCAGGAGCCTCAAAGCCGTGCTGCTGATCCATAAATGGTAGCAGGTACCCCGTCGCTTCCCCTGGCTCGCTCGGTGCGCCTCAAAGAGGGAGGATGCCAACGGCATCGTAGACCTTGCTGTGGACGCCTTGAAGTTTGATGAGTACGCCTGGGAGGTCATCGGAGACTTCAGAATGGTGGCATTCCTGATGGGTCTCCAAGGCGGGTTTTACCAAGTTTCCCTGCCGTCTTTGCCTTTGGGACAGCAGGGACAACACCAAGTCGCACTACCACAGTGCGGGACTGGCCACAGCGGACCGAGTTCTCTGTGGGGAGGAACAACGTCAAGCGGAAGCCACTGGTGATGGCACCACTGCACATCAAATTGGGCCTCGTGAAACAATTTGACGGAGCTGTAGATTGAGGAGTCGGCAGCCTTCAAGCACCTTCAAGACTTCTTCCCGAAGCTGTCTGAGGCTAAGATCAAAGCCGGCGTCTCCGTCGGACCACGGACAAGGGAGATCCTGGGTTGCGGTGAATTCCCCAAGAAGCTCGCTGGCAAGGAGAGAGCGAGCGGCTTGGGGCATCGTTGCCGCAGTGATTCGTGGCTTGCTGGGCAGTCACAAGGCCGATAACCACGTGGGGCTGCTTGAGACTCTGGGGGAGAACTACGACACCGTGGGGGTGTGGGGGGGTGGTGGGGGGGGGGAGGAGGGGGTGGTGGTGATGGGGGTGGTGTTGGTTGATGATGGGGGGGGGGTGATGGGGATGGTGGTGATGGTGGTAGTGATGATGGTGTTGGTTGATGATGATGATGGTGTTGGTTGATGATGATGATGGTGGTGGTGATGATGATGGTGGTGGTGATGATGATGATGGTGGTGTTGGTTGATGATGATGATGGTGTTGGTTGATGATGATGATGGTGGTGGTGGTGATGATGATGATGGTGGTGTTGGTTGATGATGATGGTGTTGGTTGATGATGATGATGGTGGTGGTGGTGGTGATGATGATGATGGTGGTGTTGGTTGATGATGATGATGGTGGTGTTGGTTGATGATGATGATGGTGGTGATGATGATGATGGTGGTGTTGGTTGATGATGATGATGGTGGTGTTGGTTGATGATGATGGTGGTGATGGTGGTAGTGATGATGGTGTTGGTTGATGATGATGGTGTTGGTTGATGATGATGATGATGGTGTTGGTTGATGATGATGATGATGATGGGGGTGATGGTGATGATGGTGGTGTTGGTTCATGATGATGATGGTGGTGTTGGTTGATGATGATAATGGGGGTGATGGTGATGATGGTGGTGTTGGTTGATGATGATGATGGTGGTGTTGGTTGATGATGGTGGTGATGATGGTGGTGTTGGTTGATGATGATGGTGGTGGTGGTGGTGATGATGATGATGATGGTGGTGTTGGATGATGATGATGATGATGATGGTGGTGTTGGTTGATGATGATGATGATGGGGGTGATGATGATGATGATGGTGGTGTTGGTTGATGATGATGATGATGGTGTTGGTTGATGATGATGCTGGTGGTGTTGGATGATGATGATGATGGTGGTGTTGGTTGATGATGATGATGATGGGGGTGATGATGATGTCTCAGCACTGAATGGTGGGGAGGGGAGGGGGTCACGTGGGGGTGATACAGGGGGAGAGCAGTTCCACTGTGGGTGTAGGGTCTCGCTACGTGGCAGGATGAGCGCTGGGCGTGAAGCGAACTCGGGTTGACGCCCGGTTTGCAGCGCAGCGTAGCACTAACCGCTGTCCTGGAGGAATCTGATGAGCTGCGAAGCTCTTGTCCACAGACGTTCGGGTGCACTGGCACACTCACTCAGTGACACAAGACCCACACAGCAGCAGCAACCACCACCACCCCTACTACTGACAGGGACAGCTGCCACTGGGGGTGCCCCTAGGCTAGACCCACACAGCAGTCAATCATCACCACCCCTACTACTGACAGACTGATGCACAGGGACAGCTGCCACTGGGGGTGCCCCTAGGCTAGACCCACACAGCAGTCAATCATCACCACCCCTACTACTGACAGACTGATGAACAGGGACAGCTGCCACTGGGGGTGCCCCTAGGCTAGACCCACACAGCAGTCAATCATCACCCCCTGTAGTAATCACAGTGGGCGTGACGTCATGTCGCCTTCCCGCAGGACTCCGTCTTGGTGACGTCACACGCACCTCCCCCTATCCATACGAGCGCGTGACGTCACACCCAACAGCGCCGCACCTTGGAATGCCACCATCGTCGTTCGTGCGATGTCATCCCGCTGGCAGGATGACGTCATGTCCTTTGTTAGTGTGTGACGTCATGCAGTTACCACCCAATCGACGCTGAGGAAGGAACTCTCTGTCTCTCTCTCCCCGTGTCTCCGTGTCTCTCTCCTCATCGCGTGTCTCTGCTCTGCCGTGTCTCTCTCCCCGTGTGTCTCTCCCCGTGTCTCTCTCCCCGTGTGTCTCTCCGTCCCCGTGTCTCTCTCCCGGTGTCTCTCTCCCCGTGTGTCTCTGCTCTGCTGTCTCCGTGTCTCTGTCCCCGTGTCTCTCTGTCCCCGTGTGTCTCTGCTCTGCTGTCCCCGTGTCTCTGTCTCCGTGTCTCTGTCCCCGCGTCATGTCCGGACCCGGAGACTTCGGGAACCCTCTGCGCAAGTTCAAGCTTGTCTTCCTGGGGGAGCAGAGCGGTAGGAGGACACACGGGGGGGGGGGGGGGGGGGTGACACAGAGACACGGGGGGGACAGAGACACGGGGGGGTGACACAGAGACACGGGGGGGACAGAGACACAGAGACACGGGGGGACGGGGGGACAGAGACACAGAGACACAGAGACACGGGGGGACAGAGACACAGAGACACGGGGGGACGGGGGGACAGAGACACAGAGACACAGAGACACGGGGGGACAGAGACACAGAGACACGGGGGGACGGGGGGACAGAGACACAGAGACACGGGGGGGACAGAGACACGGGGGGGACAGAGACACGGGGGGGTGACACAGAGACACGGGGGTGGGGGACAGAGACACGGGGGGACAGAGACACAGAGACACGGGGGGACAGAGACACAGAGACACGGGGACACGGGGGGACAGAGACACAGAGACACGGGGGGACAGAGACACAGAGACACAGAGACACGGGGGGACAGAGACACAGAGACACGGGGGGACAGAGACACAGAGACACAGAGACACAGAGACACGGGGGGACAGAGACACAGAGACACGGGGGGACGGAGACACAGAGACACAGAGACACGGGGGGACAGAGACACAGAGACACGGGGGGACAGAGACACAGAGGCACAGAGACACGGGGACACGGGGGGACAGAGACACCGAGACACAGAGACACGGGGGGACAGAGACACAGAGACACAGAGACACGGGGGGACAGAGACACAGAGACACAGAGACACGGGGACACGGGGGGACAGAGACACCGAGCCACAGAGACACGGGGGGACAGAGACACAGAGACACGGGGGGACAGAGACACAGAGACACAGAGACACGGGGGGACAGAGACACAGAGACACAGACACACAGAGACACACAGAGACACAGAGACACGGGGGGACAGAGACACAGAGACACAGACACACAGAGACACACAGAGACACAGAGACACAGAGACACGTGGGGACAGAGACACAGAGACACAGAGACACGGGGACACGGGGGGACAGAGACACCGAGACACAGAGACACAGAGACACAGAGACACGGGGGGACAGAGACACAGAGACACAGACACACAGAGACACAGAGACACGGGGGGGGGGGGGGTGACGCCAGGGTCCCGATTTGACGCCTGGGCAGCTCAGCGGTGTTGCTTCATGCACGGCCGTGACCCCACCGTGACCCCCCCGCGACCCCACCGTGACCCCCCGCGACCCCCGTGACCCCACCGTGACCCCCCGCGACCCCGCCGTGACCCCACCGTGACCCCACCGCGACCCCGCCGCGACCCCACCGCGACCCCACCGTGACCTCGCCCAGCTGCTGATGAGACACTGCATGCGGAAACCCGCCAGACACAGAGAGAGATAGTTAACATCTCACAGAGAGAGAGAGATAGTTAACGTCTCACACAGAGAGAGAGATAGTTAACATCTCACACACAGAGATAGTTAACATGTCACACACACAGAGATAGTTAACATCTCTCACACACAGAGATAGTTAACATCTCACACACACAGAGATAGTTAACATCTCACTCAGAGAGATAGTTAACATCTCACACAGAGAGAGAGATAGTTAACATCTCACACACACACAGATAGTTAACATCTCACACACAGAGATAGTTAACATCTCACACACAGAGAGAGATAGTTAACATCTCACACACAGAGAGAGATAGTTAACATCACACACACACAGATAGTTAACATCTCACACACAGAGAGAGATAGTTAACATCTCACACAGAGAGAGATAGTTAACATCTCACACACACACAGATAGTTAACATCTCACACACACAGATAGTTAACATCTCACACACAGACACACACACAGAGATAGTTAACATCTCACACACAGAGAGATAGGTAACATCTCACACACAGAGATAGTTAACATCTCACACACAGAGAGATAGTTAACATCTCTCACACACAGAGAGATAGTTAACATCTCACACACAGAGAGATAGTTAACATCTCACACACAGAGATAGTTAACATCTCACACACACAGAGAGATAGTTAACATCTCACACACACAGAGAGATAGTTAACATCTCACACAGAGAGATAGTTAACATCTCACACACACAGAGAGAGATAGTTAACATCTCACACACACACAGAGAGATAGTTAACATCTCACACAGAGAGATAGTTAACATCTCACACACAGAGAGATAGTTAACATCTCTCACACACACAGAGAGATAGTTAACATCTCACACACACAGAGAGAGATAGTTAACATCTCACACAGAGAGATAGTTAACATCTCACTCAGACACACAGAGAGATAGTTAACATCTCACACATACAGAGAGAGATAGTTAACATCTCACTCAGACACACACAGAGATAGTTAACATCTCACACACACACAGAGATAGTTAACATCTCACACACAGAGAGATAGTTAACATGTCACACAGAGAGATAGTTAACATCTCACACACACAGAGAGATAGTTAACATCTCACACAGACACACATAGAGAGATAGTTAACATCTCACACAGACACACAGATAGTTAACATATATGGGCAATGTTAGTCTATGGGCAATGTTAGTATATGGGCAATGCTAGTCAATGGGCAATGTTAGTCTATTAGTAATGTTAGTCTGTGGGCAATATTAATCTATGGGTAGTGTTAATCTATTGGCAATGTTAGTCTATGGGCAATGTTAGTCTGTGGGCATTGTTAGTCTATGGGCAATGTTAGTCTATGGGCAATGTTAGTCTATGGGCAATGTTAGTCTATTGGCAATATTAATCTATGGGTAGTGTTAGTCTATGGGCAATGTTAGTCTATGGGCAATGTTAGTCTGTGGGCATTGTTAGTCTATGGGCAATGTTAGTCTATGGGCATTGTTAGTCTATGGGTAGTGTTAGTCTATGGGTAGTGTTAGTCTATGGGCAATGTTAGTCTATGGGCAATGTTAGTCTATGGGCAATGTTAGTCTATGGGCAATGTTAGTCTATGGGCAATGTTAGTCTATGGGCAATGTTAGTCTATGGGTAATGTTAGTCTATGGGCAATGTTAGTCTATGGGCAATGTTAGTCTATGGGCAATGTTAGTCTATGGGTAATGTTAGTCTATGGGCAATATTAATCTGTGGGCAGTGTTAGTCTATGGGCAATGTTAGTCTATGGGCAATGTTAGTCTATGGGCAATATTAATCTGTGGGTAGTGTTAGTCTATGGGCAATATTAATCTATGGGCATTGTTAGTCTGTGTTTTCCTCCTGTATACCAGGCGAGGTAGTTAACATCTCCTAGCCACCGTGGCCCCCCGAGTCAAGGGGGGAGGGGTGGGGGGTAAAGGTGTGCGACACGTAGCAGGGCAAAGGTGGTGGTGGTGAGTGGGTGTTGGCACCGCCTGTGTGTGTGTCTGTGTGTGTGTGTCTGTGTGTGTGTCTGTGTATGTGTGTGTCTGTGTGTGTCTTTGTGTGTGTCTGTGTGTGTGTGTCTGTGTTGAGCATTTCTGTGTGGTCCTGGGGGAGGGGGAATCCCTCAGCCTCGAAAACACCATGGGACAAAGTGGGGATGACCCTGCTGAGGCTGCGGTGCCTCAAATATTGGAGAGTGGCTGGCTGAGGTGCCATCTCTTGAGGAAGTACTGAAGGCGATCCAGAGTCTGAGACCAGGAAAGACACCGGGCAGAGATGATCTCTTTGGTTCTATTCGGTAAAGTCACCACGTAGGTAAAAAATTAAATAACAAAAAATGACGACGTTTCGGCCACAACACAAGTGGCCTTCATCAGGTGAAGGGACCATGCTGTCATGAGGACAGCGTTTTTTTGTTATTTTATTTTTTACCTACGTGACTTTATCGAATAGAACCAAAGATTATGGATCCTTGCAGTCACAAAAGCTTCAAATCTAGAACAGAGATGAGCTCCCAAGCGAAATGCTGAGGGAGGGTGGCGTTTGTGCACAGACTGCTCTATATGACATCATAACAACAGTCTGGGCTTCTGGACGGGTTCCGCAGGATTGGAAGGATGCCCTGGTGGTCCCACCCTTATAGAAGTGGGGCCGCACAGACTGTAACAACTACAGGGGCATCTCACTCCTCAGTGTGCCGGGAAAGGTCCTGGCAAGGATTATTCAACATCGCCTTGCTAGGCACGCTGAGGAGAGGCTTGTGGAGCCCCAGTGCGGTTTCAGGAAAGGGCGGTCCTGCACAGATGCCATATTTTCTGTCCGTCTGCTACAACAGAGGTGTCGGGAATTCCAACAGGACCTACATCTCTGCTTTACTGACCTGGTCAAGGCCTATGATACCATCAGTCGGCCTGGACTCTGGGTTGTTCTTCGTGCTTTCGGAGTCCCTGACCCTCTGCTCACGATCATTAAGGATCTTCATGATGGTGAGCGGGCCCGGGTAAAACTGCGTGGCTGGGAGTCGGAGCCATTCCCTGTTCACCTTGGGGTGTGACAGGGATGTCCTCTGGCTCCCACATTATTTAACATCTATTTCGACCACGTAGTTCGTGAAACCTTCAGTAGCTGTACCGTAGAAATTTCCATGTGGTACAGATACAATGGGAGGCTGATCGATGCCCGGGTGCGGTCAAATGATGGCTCCCTATTGCTCAACCACGTTATGTATGCCGGTGACCTGGTAATTGCTGCTCACTCAGAGGAGGAGTTGGAGACGCTGCTGCTGAGACTGGAGCTTGCCGCTAAGAGATGTGGCCTTACCATCAGCCCCACCAAAACTAAGCACCTGCCTGGGTATTTTGTACCATCCGACACTCCACCCCCACAACTCCCAATCGGTGATGGGGCAGTTGTGGAGAGAGTGGAGAGTTTCCCATACCTGGGCAGTGTGCTTATGACCGGCTCCAGTTTAATAGCAGAGGTCTCACTCCGAATCAGTCGAGCGGCAATATCTTTTCATCGGTTGCGTAACGATGTGTGGAAGCTACCTGGTCTGTCGCTCCACACTAAGCTTCAGGTCTTCTCGGCCACGGTCATTCCCTCCCTTCTCTACACTTGCGAAACGTGGACACCCGTAATGGAGCATCTTCGCCGGTTAGAAACATTTAGGCTGGCCTGCCTACGATCCATCCTGGGTTTAACCTGGCTGGATTGTGTGAGGAGCTCACAAATCCTTGAAAGATCTGGGCAAGGTCCCATCGGTGAGCTCCTCCGGCGGGCAAGGCTGCGATGGCTGGGTCATGTAGCCCGCATGCCCAGCCACCGCATGCCGAAACAGCTTTCGTTCGGCCGGATCGAGGGGGCTATACGGGCGCGGCACGGGCTAGAGAAGAGATGGAGTGACGTGGTACAGGAGGACGTGGAGCTGAGTGGACTTGCCGATGACCGGTACCAGCGGTGTCAAAATCGGCCTCTGTGGAGGAGGCTCGTGAAGGACGCTACTAGGCAGTTGGAGGCAGTCGCCCTCCAACAACAACGGAGGGCAGAGGAGCGACGCTCACAACAACGAGCGGAGCGCCGGGTGGCTAAAGCACAGCAAGTTGGTACAGTAGGGGGCACAGGTGGTGCATCAGCCAGTCATCTCAGTCGACCCGTGGCACCTGGGTCTGCCCCGTGACCTCCTGCCAGCGGGCGTTCGACACTTCACGTGGCCTCAATGTGCACATAGCCTGGCACAAGCGTCGTGGTGACGTCACCGCCACTTTAGTTGCGAATGGCGGTTGTTGTTGTTGTGCGTGTGTGTCTTTGTAGTGTGTAGCGGTAGTGTAGTGGTTAGCGCGCTACACTGTGAACCTGGCGACCCGGGTTCAATTCACGCTCACGGCCAACACCGTTGACGATTATTTGAATCGGTCTTGGGCTTCCCCTAGGTCGCCTTGGCCTCAAATGAGTACCTGGTGCGGTGTGCAGTAAACATCGCCACTGGGGAGACAAAGGCGGCCGGGCGTGGTGCTGGCCACCCACCCCCTCGTGTGCCGTGCCGGCCTTCATAGGTGCTCGCTAACAGCTCTTGCCCCAACAGTCTGTTGGAGGCTACACTGGGGACCTTTGTCTTTGTGTTATCTCTGTTGTGTCAACAGCACCATCAGCCTCACCTCTCCCCAGTTAACCACAAAGGACAGGTTCAGTGAAGTATCACCTGCACTGTTGCTACAGACGCGTGGGGGTGCGTGTGTGTCTGTGTGTGTGTGTGCGTCTGTGTGTGTGTGCGTGTGTGCGTCTGTGTGCATCTGTGTGTGTGTGTATGCATGCGTCTGTGTGCGTGCTTCTGTGTGTGCATCTGTGTGTGTGTGTGCATCTGTGTGTGTGTGCGTCTGTGTGTGTGTGCATCTGTGTGTGTGTGCGTCTGTGTGTGTGCGTCTGTGTGTGTGTGCGTCTGTGTGTGTGTGTCTGTGTGTGTGTGCGTCTGTGTGTGTGTGCATCTGTGTGTGTGTGCGTCTGTGTGTGTGTGCGTCTGTGTGTGTGTGTGTGTGTGCGTCTGTGTGTGTGTGCGTCTGTGTGTGTGTGTGCGTCTGTGTGTGTGTGCGTCTGTGTGTGTGTGCGTCTGTGTGTGTGTGCGTCTGTGTGTGTGTGCGCGTATCTTGAGTGGGGAGTGGTGGTGCAGCGCTACAAAACCGGCAGAGACCCCGAGTTTGATTCCCGTTCGCGGCCACCATCACCAACACCACCACCAACACCACCACCACCAACACCACCAACACCAACACCACCAACACCAACACCACCAACACCACCAACACCACCACCACCAACACCACCACCAACACCACCAACACCACCTCCAACACCACCTCCAACACCACCAACACCACCAACACCACCACCTCCAACACCACCAACACCACCAACACCACCAACACCAACACCACCACCAACACCACCAACACCACCTCCAACACCACCACCACCAACACCACCAACACCACCACCAACACCACCACCACCAACACCACCAACACTAACACCACCAACACCACCAACACCACCTCCAACACCACCACCAACACCACCAACACCACAAACACCACCTCCAACACCACCAACACCACCACCAACACCACCACCAACACCACCACCAACACCAACACCACCACCAACACCACCAACACCACCACCAACACCACCAACACCACCACCAACACCACCACCACCAACACCACCTCCAACACCACCAACACCAACACCACCACCAACACCACCAACACCACCTCCAACACCACCACCAACACCACCACCAACACCACCACCATCAACATCACCAACACCACCACCAACACCACCACCAACACCACCAACACCACCACCAACACCACCACCAACACCACCAACACCACCACCAACACCACCACCACCAACACCACCAACACCAACACCACCAACACCACCACCAACACCACCACCAGCACCACCAACACCACCACCAACACCACCAACACCACCACCACCACCAACACCACCACCACCAACACCACCAACAACACCACCACCACCAACACCACCAACACCAACAACAAAAGACAAAGATCCCCCGTGTAGCCTTAACAGACTGTAGGGGCAAGTGCTGTTAGCGAGCAGCACCTGTGAAGGCCGGCACGGCACGCGAGGTGGTGGGTGCCCAGCACCACGCCCGGCCGCCTTTGTCTCCCCCAGTGGCGATGTTTACTACACATCCCACCAGGTACTCATTTGAGGCTGAGTCGACCTAGGGGAGGCCCAGGACCGGTTCAGATAATTGTCACCGCCGGTGTCGGCCGTGAGCGGGAATCAAACCTGGGTGGCCGGGTTCGCGGCCGTGAACGCCGCTACCCAACACCACCCCTAGGTCGACTCGGCCTCAAATGCGTACCCAGTACAACGTGCGGCCAAAAACTAAAAGACGCCGCTCGCCGCTAGCCGCTCACCGCTAGCCGCTAGCCGCACTTGCCCCCGACAGCCCGGCCGGAGGCTACGCGGGGGAGCTTTGTCTGTGTGTTGCTCACGCCACGTCCGTGCGCTGTGCAGTGGGGAAGACGTCGCTGATCACGCGGTTCATGTACGACAGCTTCGACAACACGTACCAGGTGCAGGGCGGCATGCCAGCAGCGTCACAGCCACCACCGTCACAGCCACCACCGCCACAACCACCACCGCTACAACCACCACTACCACAACCACCACAACCAGCATCACAACCACCACCGCTACAACCACCACTACCACAACCACAACCACCACCACAACCAGCATCACAACCAGCATCACAACCAGCATCACAACCAGCACCGCTACAACCACCACCACAACTACCACCACAACCAGCATCACAACCAGCATCACAACCACCACCACCACAACCACCACCACAATCACCACCACAATCACCACCACCAGAACCACTACCACAACCACCACCACAACCAGCATCACAACCAGCATCACAACCACCACCACAACCACAACCACCACCACAACCACCACCACAACCACATCCACCACAGCCACCACCGCTGCAACCACTACCACAACCACTACCACCACCACAACCAGCATCACAATCACCACCACCATAACCACTTCCACAACCAGCATCACAACCACCGCTACAACCACCACCACAACCACCACCACAACCACCACCGCTACAACCACCACCACAATCACCACCACAATCACCACAACAACCACCACCACAATCACCACCACCAGAACCACTACCACAACCACCACCACAACCAGCATCACAACCACTACCACAACCACCACCACAACCAGCATCACAACCATCACCACCACCACATCCACCACAACCACCACCACAACAACCACCACCACAATCACCACCACAGCGACTACCACAGCGACCACCACAGCCGTCACAACCACAACCACAGCCACCACAACCACAGCCATCACAACCAGCATCACAACCACCACCACCACAACCACCACAATCAGCATCACAGCCATCACAACCAGCATCACAACCACAACCACCACCACAGCCATCACAACCACCATCACAACCAGTATCACAACCACCATCACAACCAGTATCACAACCACCACAGCCATCACAACCACCACAGCCATCACAACCAGCATCACAACCACCACCACCACAACCACCACCACAATCAACATCACAGCCATCACAACCAGCATCAACCACCACCACAACCACCACCACAGCCATCACAACCACCATCACAACCAGCATCACAACCACCATAGCCATCACAACCACCACAGCCATCACAACCACCACAGCCATCACAGCCAGCATCACAACTGCCACCACCACCACCACAGCCAGCATCACAACCAGCATCACAACCATCACCACAGCCATCACAACCACCATCACAACCAGCATCACAACCAGCATCACAACCACCACCACAACCAGCATCACAACCACCACCACAACCAGCATCACAACCACCACCACAACCAGCATCACAACCATCACCACAGCCATCACAACCACCATCACAACCAGCATCACAACCACCACCACAACCACCATCACAACCACCATCACAACCAGCATCACAACCACAACAGCCATCACAACCACCACAGCCATCACAACCAGCATCACAACTGCCACCACCACCATAGTCACGACCACCAAAACCAGCATCACAGCCACCACCACAGTCATCGCAACCACGACAGAGGGAGAGAGCCAGCGAGGGGGTAGCGTTGTTGTTGATTGGAACTCCGTGGTTTGTGTTGCAGGCAACGATTGGCATCGACTTCCTCTCGAAGACCATGTACTTGGAGGACAGAACGGTGAGTGAGGGTCTGGGTGTCTCTCTCAGGGGGTTCACAACGGCTGTGTCGGAGACGCTGAGAACCTGGGTTCAAGCCCTGGGTCTGGGTGTCTCTCTCAGGGGGTCCATAACGGCCGTGTCCGTGACACTGGGAGCCTGGGTTCAAGCCCTGGGTCTGGGTGTCTCTCTCAGGGGGTCCATAACGGCTGTGTCGGAGACGCTGAGAGCCTGGGTTCAAGCCCTGGGTCTGGGTGTCTCTCTCAGGGGGACCATAACGGCCGTGTCGGAGACACTGAGAGCCTGGGTTCAAGCCCTGGGTCTGGGTGTCTCTCTCAGTGGGTTCATAATGGCCCTGTCAGAGACACTGAAAACTTGGGTTCAAGCCCTGGGTCTGGGTGTCTCACGGGGTTCATAGTGGCTGTGTCGGAGACACTGAGAACCTGGGTTCTAGCCCTGGGTCTGGGTGTCTCACGGGGTTCATAGTGGCTGTGTCGGAGACACTGAGAGCCTGGGTTCAAGCCCTGGGTCTGGGTGTCTCTCTCAGTGGGTTCATAATGGCCCTGTCAGAGACACTGAAAACTTGGGTTCAAGCCCTGGGTCTGGGTGTCTCACGGGGTTCATAGTGGCTGTGTCGGAGACACTGAGAACCTGGGTTCTAGCCCTGGGTCTGGGTGTCTCACGGGGTTCATAGTGGCTGTGTCGGAGACACTGGGAACCTGGGTTCAAGCCCTGGGTCTGGGTGTCTCTCTCAGGGGGTTCATAGCGGCCGTGTCCGTGACACTGAGAACCTGGGTTCAAGCCCTGGGTCTAGGTGTCTCTCTCAGGGGGTTCACAATGGCCGTGTCCGTGACACTGGGAGCCTGGGTTCAAACCCTGGGTCTGGGTGTCTCTCTCAGGGGGTCCATAACGGCCGTGTCGGAGACGCTGAGAGCCTGGGTTCAAGCCCTGGGTCTAGGTGTCTCTCTCAGTGGGTTCATAATGGCCCTGTTAGAGACACTGAGAACCTGGGTTCAAGCCCTGGGTCTGGGTGTCTCACGGGGTTCATAGTGGCTGTGTCGGAGACACTGAGAACCTGGGTTCAAGCCCTGGGTCTGGGTGTCTCTCTCAGGGGGTTCACAATGGCCGTGTCCGTGACACTGAGAACCTGGGTTCAAGCCCTGGGTCTGGGTGTCTCTCTCAGGGGGTCCATAACGGCTGTGTAAGAGACACTGAGAGCCTGGGTTCAAGCCCTGGGTCTGGGTGTCTCTCTCGAACAAGGACGGTGATGGTCACCCTATCATCACCGGGCGACGATTTCAGACGTGCTGCTCGTGTGTCCGTCTGGAACGCTCTTCCCTTCTGACGTTCGGAAGCCACTGGGAGCTTTGATGACACTTTTAAATCATCGTCGTCATCGAGATTGACAAACTGATTCCTTCCGAACTGCTTCTAATCGAGGTTTTTATTGGGTTAGATGGCGCAAATATATAAATGTGTCGTCAATCCCGCTACCGCCCGACACAGCCAATGTAAGCAGAACGTGGCCAAATCGTTACTCGTACAGCACTAGTGTGTAGTGTATAGTGTAGTGTAGTATATAGTACAGCACTAGTGTATAGTGTAGTGTGTAGTGTAGTATATAGTGTAGTGTACTCGTACAGCACGAGTGTACGGTGTAGTGTACTAGTGTAGTGTGTAGTGTAGTGTATAGTGTAGTGTATAGTGTAGTATACTAGTACAGCACCAGTGTGTAGTGTAGTGTATAGTGTAGTATACTAGTACAGCACTTGTGTATAGTGTAGTGTGTAGTGTAGTATACTGGTGTATAGTGTAGTGTATAGTGTAGTGTATAGTGTAGTATACTCGTAAAGTACTAGTGTACAGTGTAGTGTACTAGTGTAGTGTATAGTGTAGTGTACTAGTACAGTACTAGTGTATAGTGTAGTGTATGGTGTAGTATACTAGTATAGCACTAGTGTATAGTGTAGTGTATAGTGTAGTATACTAGTACAGCACTAGTGTATAGTGTAGTGTATAGTGTAGTATACTAGTACAGCACTAGTGTATAATGTAGTGTATAGTGTAGTATACTAGTACAGCACCAGTGTATAGTGTAGTGTATAGTGTAGTGTATAGTGTTGTGTATATTGTAGTGTATAGTGTATTGTATAGTGTAGTGTATAGTGTAGTGTATAGTGTAGTATACTAGTACAGCACTAGTGTAGTGTATAGTGTAGTGTTTAGTGTAGTGTATAGTGTAGTATACTAGTACAGCACAAGTGTAAAGTGTAGTGTAAAGTGTAGTGTGTAGTGTATAGTGTAGTATACTAGTACAGTACTAGTGTATAGTGTAGTGTATAGTGTAGTATACTAGTACAGCACTAGTGTGTAGTGTAGTGTATAGTGTAGTGTATAGTGTAGTATACTAGTACAGCACTAGTGTATAGTGTAGTTTATAGTGTAGTGTATAGTTTAGTATGCTAGTACAGCACTAGTGTATAGTGTAGTGTATAGTGTAGTGTATAGTGTTGTGTATATTGTAGTGTTTAGTGTAGTGTATAGTGTAGTGTATAGTGTAGTATACTAGTACAGCACTAGTGTATAGTGTAGTGTATAGTGTAGTATACTAGTACAGCACTAGTGTATAGTGTAGTGTATAGTGTAAAGTGTAGTATACTAGTACAGCACTAGTGTATAGTGTAGTGTATAGTGTAGTATACTGGTGTATAGTGTAGTATATAGTGTAGTATACTAGTACAGCACTAGTGTATAGTGTAGTATATACTGTGGTATACTAGTACAGCACTAGTGTAGTGTATCATGTAGTGTATAGTGCAGTGTATAGTGTAGTGTATAGTGTAGTATACTAGTACAGCACTAGTGTATAGTGTAGTGTGTAGTGTATAGTGTAGTGTATAGTGTAGTATACTAGTACACCACTAGTGTATAGTGTAGTGTATAGTGTAGTATACTAGTACAGTACTAGTGTGTAGTGTATAGTGTAGTATACTAGTACAGTACAGTGTGTAGTGTATAGTGTAGTGTATAGTGTAGTATACTAGTACAGTACAGTGTGTAGTGTATAGTGTAGTGTATAGTGTAGTGTATAGTGTAGTATACTAGTACAGCACTAGTGTATAGTGTAGTGTATAGTGTAGTGTATAGTGTAGTATACTAGTACACCACTAGTGTATAGTGTAGTGTATAGTGTAGTATACTAGTACAGTACTAGTGTGTAGTGTATAGTGTAGTATACTAGTACAGTACAGTGTGTAGTGTGTAGTATACTAGTACAGTACAGTGTGTAGTGTATAGTGTAGTGTATAGTGTAGTGTATAGTGTAGTATACTAGTACAGCACTAGTGTATAGTGTAGTGTATAGTGTAGTGTATAGTGTAGTATACTAGTACAGTACAGTGTGTAGTGTATAGTGTAGTGTATAGTGTAGTATACTAGTACAGTACAGTGTGTAGTGTGTAGTGTAGTGTATAGTGTAGTTTACTAGTGCAGCACGACACCGTTTGTGTGTTGGAGAGCAAATCCACAACTTTTCCAATCTGAGTGCGACGTACATCACGATATTTCGTTCACGCTGGATGAGGAATCCGATGAGCTATGAAGCTCTTCGCCGCCTATGTCCAGCAGACACGCGGACACCCAGCAGCAGCAGCAGCAGCAGCAGCCGCTCGCGAACGGCACTTGCCCCGGCAGCCCGCTCAAGGCTACGTGGGGGACCTTTGTCTCTGCAGATCCGACTGCAGCTGTGGGACACGGCGGGGCAGGAGCGCTTCCGCAGCCTCATCCCCAGCTACATCCGGGACTCGGCAGCGGCCGTGGTGGTCTACGACATCACCAGTGATACGCTCACGCACACATGCACACACACACATACACACACGCAGACACGCAGACATGCTCACGCACATACACACACGCACACACACACACACACGTTCACGCACATACACAACAACCGCCATTCTCCACTAAGTGGCGGTGACGTCACCACGACGCTTGTGCCAGGCTATGTGCACCCTGAGGCCACGTGAAGTGTCGAACGCCCGCTGGCAGGAGGTCACGGGGCAGACCCAGGTGCCACGGGTCGACTGACTGAGATGACTGGCTGATGCACCACCTGTGCCCCCTACTGTGCCAACCTGCTGTGCTTTAGCCACCCGGCGCTCCGCTCGTTGTTGTGAGCATCGCTCCTCTGCCCTCCGTTGTTGTTGTAGGGCGACTGCCTCCAACTGCCCAGTAGCGTCCTTCACGAGCTTCCTCCACAGAGGCCGATCTTGACACCGCTGGTACCAGTCATCGGCAAGTCCACTCAGCTCCACGTCCTCCTGTACCACATCACTCCATCTCTTCTCTCGCCCGTGCCGCGCTCGCTTAGCCCCCTCAATCCGGCCGAACAAAAGCTGTTTCGGCATGTGGTGGTTGGGCATGCGGGCTACATGACCAAGCCATCGCAGCCTTCCCCGCCGGAAGAGCTCACCGATGGGACCTTGCCCAGATCTTTCAAGGATTTGTGAGCTCCTCACACAATCCAGTCTGGTTAAACCCAGGATGGATCGTAGGCAGGCCAGCCTAAATGTTTCTAACCGGCGAAGATGTTCCATTAGAGGGGTCCACGTTTCGCAAACGTAGAGAAGGGAGGGAATGACCGTGGCCGAGAAGACCTGAAGCTTAGTGCGGAGCGACAGACCAGGTAGCTTCCACACAGCGTTACGCAACCGATGAAAAGATATTGCCGCTCGACTGATTCGGAGTGAGACCTCTGCTGTTAAACTAGAGCCAGTCATAAGCACACTGCCCAGGTATGGGAAACTCTCCACTCTCTCCACAACTGCCCCATCACCGATTGGGAGTTGTGGGGGTGGAATGTCCGATGGTACAAAATACCCAGGCAGGTGCTTAGTTTTGGTGGGGCTGATGGTAAGGCCCCACCTCTTAGTGGCACGCTCCAGTCTCAGCAGCAGCGTCTCCAACTCCTCCTCTGAATGAGCAGCTATTACCAAATCATCAGCATACATAACGTGGTTGAGCAATAGGGAGCCATTCCTTGACCGCACCCGGGCATCGATCAGCCTCCCATTATATCTGTACCATATGGAGATTCCCCCGGTACAGCTATTGAAGGCCTCACGAACTACATGGTCAAAATAGATGTTAAATAATGTGGGAGCCAGAGGACATCCCTGTCGCACCCCAAGGTGTACAGGGAATGGCTCTGACTCCCGGCCATGTAGTTTTACCCGGGCCCGCTCACCATCATGAAGATCCTTAATGATCGTGAGCAGAAGGTCAGGTACTCCAAAAGCACGAAGAACAACCCAGAGCCAAGGCCTACTGATGGTATCATAGGCCTTGACCAGGTCAATAAAGCAGAGATGTAGGTCTTGTTGGGATTCCCTACACCTCTGCTGTAGCAGACGGACAGAAAATATGGCATCTGTGCAGGACCGCCCTTTCCTGAAACCGCATTGGGGCTCCGCAAGCCTCTCCTCAGCGTGCCTGGCAAGGCGATGTTGAATAATCCTTGCCAGGACCTTTCCCAGCACACTGAGGAGTGAGATACCCCTGTAGTTGTTACAGTCTGTGCGCGGTCCCCCTTCTTAAAAAGGGGGACCACCAGGGCATCTTTCCAATCCTGCGGAACCCGTCCAGTGGTCCAGACTGTTGTTATGTCATATAGGGCAGTCTGTGCACAAACGCCGCCCTCCCTCAGCATTTCGCTTGGGAGATCATCTCTGCCCGCTGCTTTTCCTGGTCTCAGACTCCGGATCGCCTTCAGTACTTCCTCAACAGATGGCACCTCAGCCAGCCACTCACAGGGGGTGACTTCATCCAATATTTGAGGCACCGCAGCCTCAGCAGGGTCATCCTCACTTTGTGCCACGATGTTTTCCTGGCTGAGGGATTTTCCCTCCCCCAGGACCTCACAGAAATGCTCAGCAAATCTGCAGACCTGTTCCTGGGGGTCGGAGATTGGGTCACCGTTTTTCCCCTAATGATGGTAATAGGTGTGGCGCTGCAGATTACTTTTTTGATGGAGTTAAATAGAGATTTGTGATCACGGGCCACTGAGGCAGACTCCATCTCCTCAGCAACCCGCGACCACCACCCGTCCTTGCAGCGCATCACGGCTCTCCGAACCTCCGAGCGAAGGCTGGGGTAAGCCTCCTCATTCTCTGACGTGGGATTCTGTAGCCGATGACAGTGGGCCTGTCGCTTTTTCTCAACCATCCTGAACACCTCCTCTGTCAGCCAGGGTCTCTGGGGAGGTCTGGACCACGTACCCAAAGCAGCCATTGCAGTTGCATGAGTCACAGTCCTGAGCCTCGCCCATTTACCCTCGACATCAGGAGGAGTCGGGGACGATGCCAATCCCAGCAGCAAGCGATGATGAAATTCTCGCTTGCAACTTTCATCAGATAACTGAGACCAGGCCACTTTAGGTCGGAATGGGGTCCTGGGTGTACACCCACCACCGGAGTGGAAGAATGGCAGGCGCATCTTACAGATGATTAGTCGATGGTCAGAGGGCAGATCAGCTCCACGGTAGGTCCTGGTGTCAAGGACATGGGCTCGCATCCGCTGGTCTGTCACTATGTAGTCCAGCAGATGTTCTTGCTTGGATCCGGCATGCATCCATGATGTTGTGTGGATGCGCCGATGCCGGAACAGCGTGTTGGTAATTACAAGCCCATGGGCTGCACAAAAATCTAGCAGCCTCCTACCGTTGTTATTGAGCTGATCTGGCCCATGCCCTCCAATCACTCCAGACCAGGTGCCAGTATTATGACCAACTCGGGCATTGAAGTCACCCAACAAGATGATTCTATCCCGAGGGGCCACTTTAGCCAGAACCTGTGACAAGAGGTCATAGAAGGCATCTGACTCATCGGCTTTGCCTGCATCCCTCCACGGATGTTCATCTTCGGTGGGGGCATAAGTAACCACGACCATCATTCCTCACCTCCGGTTGATGGGAAGGCGAGCCCAAAGTAGCCTGGGGCTTACAGCTTCCCACACCTCACCGCCACGCTCCCACGCCCCCTTAATTATTTTGTTCAAAAGAAGAGCCACACCCTGTTGTTTGGCAGTCTGCTGCCCCGAGTAGAGGACTGTCCACCCCTCATGGTGGCAGGAGCCAGAGCCGGTCCACCGGACCTCCTGAATGCCACAAAGATCCAGGCGGTACCGGTCCAGCTCCCGACAGAGGAGTGGCAGCCTCTCCTCCGCAGTGAGCGTTCGAACATTCCACGTGGCCACCTGTAGTGGTTTTTCGTTGTTTCTGGAGGAGCCCCGAGGGTAGATATTCAATCTCCTGGCTCCGCCAATTGTGGTTTGGCCAGGAGACGTCATAGACGCCTGGCCCCCCGGGGCCTCCGGCACAAGCTTATTAGTTATATACTTAATTCGCGGTTTAGTGGTAATTAATTGAAGGTGGAGGGGTTACCAGCCCCTTGCACCCGTCCAGAGCCCCCGTTTAGCCCCTGTGGTGGACACAGACGCCATGAGGGGAGGAGCCAATCACAATTGGACCTCCCCCCACAGCACTGTCCACGACAGAGTTGCCCGTCCGGCACCGCGAGGAGGTAGGGGGTTGTTTTGCCGGACACGCAGACACACACGCAGACACGCAGACACACACACGCAGACACGCAGACACACACACGCACACACACACGCTCACGCTTACACATGCAGACACACACACATGCACACACACGCTCACGCACACACGCAGACACACACACGCAGACACGCAGACACACACACGCAGACACACACACGCTCACGCTCACACGCACACACGCTCACGCTCACACGCACACACGCTCACGCTCACAACAACAACCGCCATTCGCCACTAAGTGGCGGTGACGTCACCACGACGCTTGTGCCAGGCTATGTGCACCCTGAGGCCACGTGAAGTGTCGAACACCCGCTGGCAGGAGGTCACGGGGCAGACCCAGGTGCCACGGGTCGACTGACTGAGATGACTGGCTGATGCACCACCTGTGCCCCCTACTGTGCCAACCTGCTGTGCTTTAGCCACCCGGCGCTCCGCTCGCTGTTGTGAGCGTCGCTCCTCCGCCCTCCGTTGTTGTTGTAGGGCGACTGCCTCCAACTGCCCAGTAGCATCCTTCACGAGCCTCCTCCACAGAGGCCGATCTTGACACCGCTGGTACCAGTCATCGGCAAGTCCACTCAGCTCCACGTCCTCCTGTACCACATCACTCCATCTCTTCTCTAGCCCGTGCCGCGCCCGCTTAGCCCCCTCAATCCGGCCAAACAAAAGCTGTTTCGGCATGCGGTGGCTGGGCATGCGGGCTACATGACCCAGCCATCGCAGCCTTGCCTGCCGGAGGAGCTCACCGATGGGACCCTGCCCAGATCTTTCAAGGATTTGTGAGCTCCTCACACACTCCAGTCTGGTTAAACCCAGGATGGATCGTAGGCAGGCCAGCCTAAATGTTTCTAACCGGCGAAGATGTTCCATTAGGGGGGTCCACGTTTCGCAAGCGTAGAGAAGGGAGGGAATGACCGTGGCCGAGAAGACCTGAAGCTTAGTGCGGAGCGACAGACCAGGTAGCTTCCACACAGCGTTACGCAACCGATGAAAAGATATTGCCGCTCGACTGATTCGGAGTGAGACCTCTGCTGTTAAACTGGAGCCAGTCATAAGTACACTGCCCAGGTATGGGAAACTCTCCACTCTCTCCACAACTGCCCCATCACCGATTGGGAGTTGTAGGGGTGGAGTGTCCGATGGTACAAAATACCCAGGCAGGTGCTTAGTTTTGGTGGGGCTGATGGTAAGGCCCCACCTCTTAGTGGCACGCTCCAGTCTCAGCAGCAGCGTCTCCAACTCCTCCTCTAAATGAGCGGCAATGACCAGATCATCGTCATACATAACGTGGTTGAGCAATAGGGAGCCATCCCTTGACCGCACCCGGGCATCGATAGCCTCCCATTATATCTGTACCATATGGAGATTCCCCCGGTACAGCTATTGAAGGCTTCACGAACTACGTGGTCAAAATAGGTGTTAAATAATGTGGGAGCCAGAGGACATCCCTGTCGCACCCCAAGGTGTACAGGGAATGGCTCTGACTCCCGGCCACGTAGTTTTACCCAGGCGCGCTCACCATCATGAAGGTCCTTAATGATCGTGAGCAGAGGGTCAGGTACTCCAAAAGCACGAAGAACGACGCAGAGCCCAGGCCTACTGATGGTATCATAGGCCTTGACCACGAATTAAACACACACACACACACACGCTCACACGCAGACACACACACGCGCTCACAGGCACTGCGGTGGCCTTCCCACGTGGTGCTCGCTGACAGCACTTGCCCCCTCCCCCTCCAACAGCCGGGTTAAAGGCTACCTGGGCGCCCTTTGCCTCTCCCTCCACCTCCCTCCCTCTCCCTTTCCCCTGCACCCTCTCCCCCTCTCCCCCTCCCCCCTCCCCCCTCCCCCCTCCCTCCCCCTCCCCCCTCCCCCCCTCCCCCCCTCCCTCCCCCTCCCCCCTCCCCCCCTCCCCCCCGCCCACCCAGACGTGAACTCGTTCCAGCAGACCACCAAGTGGATTGACGACGTGCGGACCGAGCGTGGGGGCGACGTCGTCATCGTCCTCGTGGGGAACAAGACGGACCTCGTCGAGAAGAGGTGGGCGGGCTGGTGGGGTGGGCGGATCACGCGGGGACGGGTGGGAGGGTCACGGTGGGGTGGGAGTGGTGGGGTGGGAGGGGTGGGAGGGGTGGGAGGGTCACGGAGGGGTGGGAGTGGTGGGGTGGGAGTGGTGGTGGGGAGGGAGTGGTGGGGTGGGAGTGGTGGTGGGGTGGGAGTGGTGGTGGGGTGGGAGTGGTGGTGGGGTGGGAGTGGTGGTGGGGTGGGAGTGGTGGTGGGGTGGGAGTGGTGGTGGGGTGGGAGTGGTGGTGGGGTGGGAGAGTCGGGGTGGGAGTGGTGGGGTGGGAGTGGTGGTGGGGTGGGAGTGGTGGGGTGGGAGGGTCGGGGTGGGAGTGGTGGGGTGGGAGTGGTGGTGGGGTGGGAGTGGTGGGGAGGGAGCGGTGGGGTGGGAGCAGTGGCGTGGGAGCGGTGGGGTGGGAGCGGTGGGGTGGGAGTGGTGGGGTGGGAGCGGTGGGGTGGGAGTGGTGGTGGGGTGGGAGTGGTGGTGGGGAGGGAGTGGTGGGGTGGGAGGGTCGGGGTGGGAGTGGTGGGGTGGGAGTGGTGGTGGGGTGGGAGCAGTGGCGTGGGAGCGGTGGGGTGGGAGCGGTGGGGTGGGAGCGGTGGGGTGGGAGTGGTGGTGGGGAGGGAGTGGTGGGGTGGGGTGGGAGGGTCGGGGTGGGAGTGGTGGTGGGGGAGTGGTGGGAGTGGTGGTGGGGTGGGAGAGTCGGGGTGGGAGTGGTGGGGTGGGAGCGGTGGGGTGGGAGGGGGAGCGGTGGGGTGGGAGTGGTGGGGTGGGAGTGGTGGGGTGGGAGCGGTGGGGTGGGAGCGGTGGGGCGGGAGTGGTGGGGTGGGAGTGGTGGGGTGGGAGTGGAGGGGTGGGAGTGGTGGGGTGGGAGTGGTGGGGTGGGAGTGGTGGGTGGGAGTGGTGGTGGGGTGGGAGTGGTGGGGTGGGAGTGGTGGGGTGGGAGTGGTGGTGGGGTGGGAGTGGTGGGGAGGGAGCGGTGGGGTGGGAGCGGTGGGGTGGGAGCGGTGGGGTGGGAGAGTCGGGGTGGGAGTGGTGGGGTGGGAGCGGTGGGGTGGGAGCGGTGGGAGCGGTGGGGTGGGAGCGGTGGGGTGGGAGTGGGAGCGGTGGGGTGGGAGCGGTGGGGTGGGAGTGGAGGGGTGGGAGTGGAGGGGTGGGAGTGGTGGGGTGGGAGCGGTGGGGTGGGAGTGGGAGCGGTGGGGGTGGGAGTGGTGGGGTGGGAGCGGTGGGGTGGGAGCGGTGGGGCGGGAGTGGTGGGGTGGGAGTGGTGGGGTGGGAGTGGAGGGGTGGGAGTGGTGGGGTGGGAGTGGTGGGGTGGGAGTGGTGGGTGGGAGTGGTGGTGGGGTGGGAGTGGTGGGGTGGGAGTGGTGGGGTGGGAGTGGTGGTGGGGTGGGAGTGGTGGGGAGGGAGCGGTGGGGTGGGAGCGGTGGGGTGGGAGCGGTGGGGTGGGAGAGTCGGGGTGGGAGTGGTGGGGTGGGAGCGGTGGGGTGGGAGCGGTGGGAGCGGTGGGGTGGGAGCGGTGGGGTGGGAGTGGGAGCGGTGGGGTGGGAGCGGTGGGGTGGGAGTGGAGGGGTGGGAGTGGAGGGGTGGGAGTGGTGGGGTGGGAGCGGTGGGGTGGGAGGGGGAGCGGTGGGGTGGGAGTGGTGGGGTGGGAGTGGTGGGGTGGGAGCGGTGGGGTGGGAGCGGTGGGGCGGGAGTGGTGGGGTGGGAGTGGTGGGGTGGGAGTGGAGGGGTGGGAGTGGTGGGGTGGGAGTGGTGGGGTGGGAGTGGTGGGTGGGAGTGGTGGTGGGGTGGGAGTGGTGGGGTGGGAGTGGTGGGAGTGGTGGTGGGGTGGGAGTGGTGGGGAGGGAGCGGTGGGGTGGGAGCGGTGGGGTGGGAGCGGTGGGGTGGGAGAGTCGGGGTGGGAGTGGTGGGGTGGGAGCGGTGGGGTGGGAGCGGTGGGAGCGGTGGGGTGGGAGCGGTGGGGTGGGAGTGGGAGCGGTGGGGTGGGAGCGGTGGGGTGGGAGTGGAGGGGTGGGAGTGGAGGGGTGGGAGTGGTGGGGTGGGAGCGGTGGGGTGGGAGTGGGAGCGGTGGGGTGGGAGTGGTGGGGTGGGAGTGGTGGGGTGGGAGCGGTGGGGTGGGAGCGGTGGGGCGGGAGTGGTGGGGTGGGAGTGGTGGGGTGGGAGTGGAGGGGTGGGAGTGGTGGGGTGGGAGTGGTGGGGTGGGAGTGGTGGGTGGGAGTGGTGGTGGGGTGGGAGTGGTGGGGTGGGAGTGGTGGGGTGGGAGTGGTGGTGGGGTGGGAGTGGTGGGGTGGGAGCGGTGGGGTGGGAGCGGTGGGGTGGGAGAGTCGGGGTGGGAGTGGTGGGGTGGGAGTGGTGGGGTGGGAGCGGTGGGGTGGGAGCGGTGGGAGCGGTGGGGTGGGAGCGGTGGGGTGGGAGTGGGAGCGGTGGGGTGGGAGCGGTGGGGTGGGAGTGGAGGGGTGGGAGTGGAGGGGTGGGAGTGGTGGGGTGGGAGCGGTGGGGTGGGAGTGGGAGCGGTGGGGTGGGAGTGGGAGCGGTGGGGTGGGAGTGGAGGGGTGGGAGTGGAGGGGTGGGAGTGGAGGGGTGGGAGTGGTGGGGTGGGAGCGGTGGGGTGGGAGTGGGAGCGGTGGGGTGGGAGTGGGAGCGGTGGGGTGGGAGTGGAGGGGTGGGAGTGGAGGGGTGGGAGTGGAGGGGTGGGAGTGGTGGGGTGGGAGCGGTGGAGTGGGAGTGGGAGCGGTGGGGTGGGAGTGGGAGCGGTGGGGTGGGAGTGGAGGGGTGGGAGTGGAGGGGTGGGAGTGGAGGGGTGGGAGTTGTGGGGTGGGAGCGGTGGGGTGGGAGCGGTGGGGTGGGAGCGGTGGGGTGGGAGTGGAGGGGTGGGAGTGGTGGGGTGGGAGTGGTGGGGTGGGAGTGGTGGTGGGGTGGGAGT